GAAAATACAAAAAACATACATATCCTTCATGATAATAAGCTTTCAAGTGTACTAAAGATAAGGAAAGTAAAACAAAATTGCTTTCTTAAATATAAGCTCGCATAGGCCCCGAAAGCTTTTATATTAAAGAACGCATTTGTTTTATTTTCTACTTTTCAGTGCAATTAAAAACGTATTATTATAAAGTTGTTTTATATTTTTTTTATTCCAGAACCAGAAACTTTTTGTAACATTGTTGGTTTTATTTTTTATTCTCGGTGCATTCAAAAGCTTATTATTGTCATGGCTTTTATAACTTTTTTTTGCATTTCCAGAACAGAAAACCTTATATGACAATGTAAAGAGTACCGAGGGCGACTGTGTACGACATGTGGAGCTAAATGTATATGAAACTGAGCATGTGTATGAAATCTGTCAGGATGGTCATACATTTTAGTAATAATTATACATTGTATTTGTTATTATAAAAACAAAGAAAAGCATATCAAAAGACCAAATGCAGATACAATGTAGTAATGTAATGCCATACCACACTCACGTTGCTTTCAAGACAACGTGTTTTTATATTTGTAAAGCAGAGTGACATTTAAATACAATTTAGTTTTTTTTTAAATAACTTTAAAGAGTTTACTTTTGAGCGATTTGTTTTGCTGTTTGAAGTTTATATTGTATTTTATATTAAATACACTGTTTGGACTTCAGAATTATAAACAAAGTTAAATTACATGTCGATATAATTACAATTTTAATAACATGTATTAAACATGAAGACCTACGATTTAAATAACACGAACTTTGGAAAAATCCTAATGGCGCTTTGTAATAATATACATTGTTCCTATAATGGAGGCCTATTTCCTAAGAAATCAAGCATATCACCTAATTAATCGATTTCTAGAAGTGTATTGTTTATCTGTCAGCTATCAAAATGTACTTGCTGTATTGCAAGTTTTGTGTTATTGTGTCGCACCGAAAAGTCCCTTCTCCCCCTCCCCCTCCTTTGACCCCTACGTTTATGTTTTACTTTGCAAATAACACTAACGGACTGACCAACTAAGTTGCTTTTAATTACGTTCAATTTAAATGAGTTTTGTTTCGAATCTCTTGAAAAATAATTTAACTTCCAATTGTCCAATCAAGCATAGTAGTAAATTTTGAATGACAATTTAGGCATCTATAATTTTAATCTAAGTACAGGTTTCTATTCGATAGACAATTTAATTTAAAAATTACTATTTTCAATAATGAGAAAGGGGAGATAAACAGAATAAAATACTGGTTTATAAAATTTTTTTAGAGAAATATTTTTTTTCTTTCGTAAGGAGTTCATTGTTTAATTTAAATAGTAGTGTATAATTTATTTTCTACTTTTTAGTGCATTATTACATAAAAGCTTGTTATTAAAACGTTTTTTATGATTGTTTTTATTCTTTGAGGCCTTATATAGAAAATTGTTGAAGTTTGTACATTTTTTAGCGCAATTTCCATACTGGGGGATTGCGATTATTAACTCGTCATTTCTGGATGGATGGATGGATGGATGGATGTGTGTCCGCAACGTATCAGCAGCTTTAAGTCGTATCTCCCCCTCAAAGAAGCAATATCGAGGACTAGTTCCAAAAGCAAATATGTTAAGCAAGTTCCGAGGATGAACATAAGCCAAAAAAGCCAAAAAAACTCGAAAAAATGCAGTTATTGGCCCATATCTCGGCAACCAGACCACTTAGCGACTTGAAACATTTACCTATCGATTTCTGCCATAATTTAGAACAATATTGCTGAAGAAAGTTTTCAAAAATATCCTTTCGTTCGGTCACAAAAAATTAATTTCTTCTAATTTGTATTGGCTAAGATTACTAAGAATATACAAAAATTTCTATCACCCTCATCCCTTCGCGTCTCACCACTAGAAGAAGCGAAGCGGTGAAGTTCCAAACCAAGCACACCGGCTGAGGCAGTCGCTAGTGAGAGGTAACGTCTACTTGTTTAAACTGAGCATCGTGTAGGCCTACCGTTGATATAGGTTATTCCTGCCATAATTTAGAACAATATTTTTAAATCTCGTTAATAAATATTTTTTCTATTTTGTTTTGAATTATTAAAACTACCTGTGTTGCATTATTTAATTGCTGAATATATGATTGATCTCGATTTAAAATTGTTATGAATAACATAAGGAAATTGCGCTTAAATTGTCACTAGACTTTTTAATAACTTGTTTAAATGTAGTCACTCTTAGTCGATTTTCGCTTCCACTGCTTGGACGTAGAATCTGGCCTATTGTTTTTCGTGTTCATCTAATAAGAATATTTGAGTAATGCCATATTTCAATTGTCTGCCACGTTTGGAAGTACCCACAGGTCTTGTCGGAAAAAAGGTCAACTAATATTGATACTGGCTCTCTTAAAAAACGACAATTAAGCCACATTTGAACACCAGTAGTGGTGTAGACTGTTCTAATTATCGTATATATGATTCAGGTTTCTTGGATGTTTTCTTTGTAAAATAAAGTTTACTAAGCGTCCATTGGAGGATTCGATTTTTAAATGTCGCTGGGGCAATGGTTGGAAAAGCGAAGGGGGGTTGGGGGTGGGGGGAGGGGGCGATCGGATTTTTGTGTAGATATGTAACGATGGAAACGGAAAATAATAATAAAACTGTAACATCAGAGTTTAATATTTAAAAAAAAAAATTCTCGAACTAAATCTGTCATGTTATTCTGTATAATTAAACACATTTTTATAGAATTGAGGTGCAAATTGATAAATGAATCGGGATATTGATTTGGAGTGACTAACATTTACTGTATTAATGGATGTTGAAATTTTAAGATACGGGGAGCGGTTGAAGTTTGACGTCATTTGGGGGAGGGGGTTGCCTGATTTTTTTGCTGACATTATGTTTTTATAGGGGTTGTGGGTTAAAAAATTGTGAAAATATTATCGTTACGTCGTTTATTTACCACATATTTGGTGCGTTTTATAAGTTAGGCCTACCCTTAAAATGCCAAAACAAATCCGGTGATGGTTATTAAGCGCGGTAACACTGCCTTTCTTTTATACCGGCTAAAACATCGCAGACAAAACCGTTGTAAACTACATTGTGTCTGCTTTCTAACCATTTATTATCCCGTACTTATGTTTAACACAATACATTAAGTGTAATAGTTATTTCAGTCATTTCCACTAACTTTACCACTTAGAGCTGGGTTTTTTGTTTAGTTTTTTTTTGGAACACTTAAGTGGGTTGGACGATATAATTTCATGTTATTTTAAGAGGGGGGGGGGGGGGGCGGTAAGAGTATACCGCCCCCCCCACCCCCCCCCCCCCGAAAATTTCAAGTGCCCCTTCCCCCCCCCCCCTCCCCCGGAGTAGAAAGTCAGTCAATCCACTTATCCACTTGACGTTATGACCTTTGATACGAAAATAAAAAAACAGAATCGCAGCTCACGTTAAATCCTGTTTCCTTTTTTTAAATGAGTGGCTGTGAGCGAGAAACATAGATCGCCACAACAACTCGCAGGGTCGTTGAAATGTGACAAGCCAGGTACGTGTTCATGTCACTACATCACCCAACAGGTAGAGACCTAACATATTCTTCTTCGTTCTTTGTATTTATGTTGGAAGGGATTCTCTTTGACACAGTTAAGTATTACGTGTCAATTTGTTATGTGCTGTATAAGCCGTTGACTCCGATTTCAGCCTGCTTTTGTTTTTGGATTTGCTTTTATAGCTGTTGTACAAACCAGGTCGGGAGTCACCCGGTGCGGCACCTAATGTTGTCACCCTCCCCTCCCCCCAACCACCGTAAGAAAAAAAATATATATGTATATATATATTGATGTATATGTATATATAAATATATATTCCATATACACTTGTAAGTATGTGTATACGCACGTGCATATGTATTCAAATATATTTTTTTCCCTAGAAGTATTTAAATTTTAACACATAAGTTACAACGATTCTGAACCAAACAGTTTTCCTCAGGCATATTTTACAAACTTGAGTTGATGTAACTCCCCCCCCCCCATTCACCCCACCCCCAAGGCGATTGGTTTAAACTGTGCTCAGATATAAGGAAGATTTTTTTATCTATAGTCTGTTATAAATACAGCTGGATGTAGCATGTTTTCTCTACCATTAGCAGGTTTACGTCATAGTGTCATCCCCCCTCTCCACACTTGTCGGGATTTGTCAAATTTGCTCTTAAAAGACTATTTAACTCACTATAATTTATCAATAAACTAAGTGGAATTATCTTTTTTTTTGTATATATGTTGCTATTTTTGCCTTGGTGTCACCCCTCTAAATGGTGTCACCCGGTGCGCCCCCCCCCCCCACCCCTCGCTAAGTCTCTGGTACAACCAATACAAAATACAAGACAGCAGTTATTTGATTTTGGAGTTACTTTTCGATTCAGCAAGCAAGAGATTTACCGACTCAACCACGCCGACCCATAGCCGATTCCATATTCTAATGGAAAATTGAATCTTTGTCTACAATTCTTTGATCTTTTTTATCAATTTCACCCGGATTTTTGTATTCAAGATCATTAAAGTAAAATACTTTAAAACCAAAATAAAAATATGAACGCATATAATGCACTATGCAATGCACGTTTCAATATTGGAAGTACTAAAATATATAATTTACGAGTGTATAATATATATATATATATATATATATATATATATATATATATATATATATATATATATATATATATATATACTGCATTATTTATTGATATTTCTCAGATAGATTTGAGATGAAATCGGTAGATATTTTAAATTTAAATTTTTATATAACATTATTAAGTGTGCAGATAGTTTGTTTGTTTATATATATATATATATATATATATATATATATATATATATATATATATATATATATATATATATATTTAAAAAAGATCTACTTAAGCCCAACTTAACAAAAAAAACCTCATTATTTTATCAGGTTATATTCGAATCATTACGTTGTGGATTAACACAATGAAGGTACATGTATGTATCTTGTTGGCGTTCGTCCTGCAAGTAGTCTGTACACTAGGTAAATATATATAGACCAGGTGCCTCTTTTTTTTACAACATCTACTTCTATTAAGTGTGGTAGTGTGGGGTTTGGTCTACTCAGACTGTGTTGTGTGGAATATGTGTGTGTTGAGGTGGGGTGAGGTAAATGGGGAGTGATGTCTGTTAAATGTGTGAGGGTACAATCACAACATGTACAATCACTTGACCAGAAGCGTGTATTTAGCTTCGTGTATATTCACAGGTATTATTACACTTTGTTAATGAACATTCACAATGTCTCTAGCTTTCAGGTGATGGTATCAGATTCTTACAATCCTAAGACAACATAATTCTGCCTATCTAGCCGCACAAGTCACACTTCTTTATACAAAGACGATCAAGACAAGCACTGACTCACACCAATATCCACAGCAACCCGTTTCTACCCAAAAACGTCACTTTTCTTTATTTGCGTCATTATTCCATGCATTCATTATCTTTTTCACACCAATATTCATTCGCACGTAGCAAACTCAACTCATAACAGTGTCTATGGTGGGTGATTTGGTCACATGGCTCACTGATTTGGACCAGGACTCGAATTCAACAACTTAAACAGGTTACACTTAGATATTTACATGCTTAATAAAATATGGTTCATTAATTCAATAACCACCACATTAATTCCTTCCAATTTAGCATTAGAGTTTGGTAATTTAAAGAGGCCTATACAGACGTGTAAATTGGATGAGTTCCAATGCAACAACACCAGATGTATTCCCCTCAGTTTTAGATGCGACGGTGCGGATGATTGTCGTGACGGTTCTGATGAGCTTGACTGTCGTAAGTTTTTTTTTTGGTCTACTCAAAGATTATTTGATTTAATATTGATATTTAAAAAAAAATATAATTGTAACAGACAGTACTTTTAAAGTATTATGTTTGGAGTGAACTTTGTGTGATGGTAGAATGCTAGAGATTCTATAATTAATACTGTTTTTGGTTGTTTGCGTAAACACCCCAAATGAGAATCTAAAAAAATTAAACAGGTTGTGCTTGGAATTTTACATGTATCTGCTTAAAATACTGTTCATTTATTCAATAACCTCCACAAAAATCTTTCCAACTTAGGATTGACGTGTGGCGTGAATATGTTTCAATGCAACAACAACAGATGCACTTCCGTCCGTTGGAGATGTGACGGTACTGATGATTGTGGTGACGATTCTGATGAGCAATTCTGTCGTAAGTCTTTTATTTTACAATACTTAATATTTAATAATATCATTTTTTTTTTTTTTTCGGAAAATCATAAATGAGAAACTTAGATATTTACATGCTTAATCAAACAGCGTTCATTAATTCAATAACCACCACATAAATCCTTCCAATTTAGCATTGGACTTTGGTAATTTAAAGAGGCCTATACTGATGTGTGCATCGGTTGAGTTCCAATGCAACAACACCAGATGTATTCCCCTCAGTTTTAGATGTGACGGTACGGATGATTGTGGTGATGATTCTGATGAGCAATTCTGTCGTAAGTCTTTTATTTTACAATACTCAATACTTAATAATTTCATTTTTTATTTTTTCGGAAAATCATAAATGAGAAACTAACAACTTAAACAGGTTACACTTAGATATTTACATGCTTAATAAAATATGGTTCATTAATTCAATAACCAACACATAAATCCTTCCAATTTAGCATTGGACTTTGGTAATTTAAAGAGGCCTATACTGATGTGTGCATCGGATGAGTTCCAATGCAACAACACCAGATGTCTTACCGGCAGTTGGAGGTGTGACGGTACTGATGATTGTGGTGACGATTCTGATGAGCTTGACTGTCGTAAGTCTATTTTTTTGGTCTACTCATAGATTTTTTAAATTTAATAATGATAATTTTTTAACAGACAGTACTTTTAGAGTATTATGTTTGGAGTGAGCTTTGTGTGATGGCCGAATGCCTGGCCCATAGAAACGACTACGTGAGCGATTCATCATAATGTTTTTCTTGCTATGTTAAAGGCTTTTACTTTGCTGGCTCAGTATGTATGTGTCTCCGCCAATTTTAGAGTAATAATTAAACCCATTTCCTATTGTCCGATTGAGCTGAAATTTGGCACAGTAGTATATTTTTGATGACAATTCTAGAATATAAAATTATTAATCTAATTAGATAGACAATTAATCATTACAACTTAATTTAAAAATACAAATTAAGAGTGAAAGGGGAGACAAGATAAAAACAGAACAAAACAAAAACACTAGCGATCGCTTTATTAGAGGGCCGTCGAGGATAAACTTTATTCAGTTTGCGATTTCCTTATTTGGTCGAGTACGAACAAATAAAAGACATGTACCTCAACTTTAATGATCGCAAGCTATTCTACGTATTATTTTAATTACCAACGAATGACTAAATAGTGCAAAATAAATCTCACATAAAAATAATATTTAAGGAAAAAGCTTTTATCATATTAAAAAAAAATCTCAAACAAAAAATGCACTAAAAAAGTAAATATAATCAAATTAATTTGATGTATCCATAATAAAGCTAAATTTCGGTGTGAGTACAAATAAAAGCTTGGGCGCTCACTTACTGAAAATAATTTCCCTTCATGTGTATTTTATTGATAGGTTTAATTTCGACAGCATAAAAGAAGACATGTTTAAATTTTATCTTTTAGCGCCCTGGCTTTTATTTTTAAAAATAGCTTTTGTAAGGTTACACCTAATTAAATTAATTTTTAATGCTTTTTGTGTGAATTTTTTGTGGTGATTTTTGAATAGGATAAAAGCATTTTTCCTTAAATGTGTTATAATTTTATGTGAGATTTTTTTTTATTTTGCTCACTGACTGTAGGATAAGACTGTGAGAGAAGGTACATAAAATGTGTGATCAACGCGTCGAGTGCGTCAAATGAGATGAGTGTAAGTCGACTTTACATGAGATAACTGTGTGATTGAAAGTTGGTGTGCTCCAGTATCGAAAATTTGTATTCAGCGATCTATATATATTTCATAGTACAAAAGCCGTTTTGTTATGTTAAAAATGTTATCAAATTTATATAAGCTAGTTCCGTGTCATACTTAAAAAGAACCCACAACCATAAGTGAATTCTAAAAAAACCGCTTTGGCAATAAAGTTTACCTAACATAACACCCAGGCTTAACCTTAAGCGAATGTTTTTTTTTTAAAACAGAAACTAGTAAAACCTAGTATACTTTTCGAAACAATTAATCACACGAATACACATTTTTGATACAGAAAAACTGTTACCCAGCTGTAAATAAATGTAACGATTTATGAAGTCTATGCAGTAGTCGGTGTCTTTGTCTTTAAGCTAAAATAAATTGTGATAAAAAGGCTGAAAAGAAATGCAATGATGGAGAATGCATCCTCGAACATTTTTGGTGTGATAGAGACAAGGACTGTAAAGATGGATCGGATGAGAGCCATTGCTCCGGCACCCACACAGAATGTCGTCAAATTGAGTTCCACTGTTCTTTACCTGCACACGAGGCACAGTGTATCCACCTCTCTTGGCTGTGTGATGGTGAAATGGACTGTCAAGATGGAAGTGATGAGGTCAACTGTAAGTTTATAAAAGTTGTTTTTAACTTTTAACACGTTCTAGAAATTAATTGCTGATGTTACTTGAAACACTACATTATGTGCTTTAGGTACACAACTTGATTGTCCGTGTAATCACACGCTTTGCGATGCTTAAGTAAATTGAAACAATACATTCTTGGTTGTAGGTACAAAGCGTGATTGTCCACCTAATCACAAGCTCTGCGACATTAACCATTGTATTACAAGTGATTTCTTCTGTGACGGGGAGTTTGACTGTGAAGACAAATCTGATGAAGCCAATTGTAATGTTACAAGTGAGTCTTTTCATTTTCAAAGTGCTTAGAGCTTATTTTAAAGGTTAATGCAATTTTACAAATGGTTATAATAAATGTTACAATATACTGAAAATAAATGAATCCGCTCCTTAAAAATATGTAAGTCAAGTATAATGACAAAACCTGCATCTCTAAAGAAAAAATCTTTGATAAAAATCCTGACGTGTATATATATAAGAAAATAGGTACTTCAATAGGAAAAATTAGTTTATTTTTATTTTACAGAAAACTTTATTGAAAACCAAAGCAAACAAAATATAATGTTTCTTTGTGTTATTATTGAAAGGGAAGGCACACTAATTAAAACAACAATTAATTTAAGTCACTAATTACCCTCTCGTGCGGCTAAATACTACCACTGGTAAGTTCAAATAGTAGAAAATAGTTTAAAGAATGTGCTTTGTATTATAAATAGGCATTAAACAATAACACAGCTATTTTACAGTTTGAATTTTTAATGTTCTTTCGAACAGTCATCCCATTACGACAAATTTGTCCCATTCGCACATTTGTTAAAAATGTGAAATGTTAAAAAGTTTTATTTAATGTACCTTCAAATTTTTTATGCAGAACGCATAACTAGAAAATTGATATTACTAGAACATGTTAATAATTGGATTTTCTAATACTAATTTAAATGCCTTACAACGTTTGTTTTTAAAAACGCAATAGAAAAAGAATCGCTTGTTTACTAGTTATTAAAAAAAGTATTCAAATTGATTATTATTTTGAATTTTTGAATTTATCCAAATCCGGGGTATTTTCTCACTTTATTAATAAAAAATTCCCAAAAGAAATAAAAACGTTGTCGGTTAACAGTTATAGCTTTGTCCTAATTTGCAGAGATACCCACAACATCAAAAATTGACTCGACAACATCTGTGTCATCCATGGCAACGACGGCAACAATTAGCTTTACCACGGAGGGAAATGTTTCAAAGATTGGGAAAGTTTCTCTAAATACATTAGGTAAATCTGTTTAAATTATCGAGCAAAATGTCGACAAAATGACTACAGATCTTTTTACCACTGTTTTTTTTTTCAAATTAAATCACGTTTGTGAGGAAAAAAATAATTATAAAGCATGAACAATTTAATAAGTAAGAAAAGTACCTTAATTCAAAGCTTTCAACTTTTATTTGACGATCGATGTATAAACTCAAATAAACTCACGTTTCAAAATAAAGTTGTACATTAAATTCCTTGACATCTAAAACTTCTTCCATCTCTGGTGCTTTTGGCCTTATGGAAAATATATTTATTGCTGGAAACTATTCCAGTAATGAATGATAGAGTCTTTTAGATTTACTTTAAAAAACGTCAGTGTGTAACAACAATTACATTCAAAATTGCTTGCGACTATAACAATAATTGTATACATGTGTTTTTAAAAGCCAACACATTAACTTTTACAGAAAAGCGAGTGATAAAAAGTCATAGTAAGCTCCCAAAATATTTCATATAACACAAATGGATCGGGTAATAGAATAGAAGTTTGAAACAAAACAATTGCGCGCTTTTTGAGTAACGCTTGGTGGCGAAAATTTCTTAGAATAAGCGTTAAGAGAAATTCATTAAAAATTATTAAGTTCTGAAAGTTTTTCAAAACTCGGAAAATAAATCTTTATTTTTAACTTTTCCATATTATATCGAATACAAATTAATTATCAGTTTTAATTTTTTTTTAATGTATTCAAGAAAATTAATAAATGCATATCCCTGTTAAATGTTTTTAATTTGTCCTGATTTGCAGCGGCTACCAATATATCTGAAACCACCACAACAACATCTGTGACGTCCACCGCAACAACGGCAACAATTAGCTTTACTACAGTGAACGGATCTGACTATAAATTGGGTAAAAACATGACAATGTCGTTAAACTAAATGTACTTTTGTATGTTGTTGTAGGGTAGAACGGTTAAAATCTGTGATATTTGAGATAACTAAGGAATGGCCACCTATCCATGTTCAAACTTGTTTTGAATTTACTTTGTATAAAACAAAAAACAAAAAGCTTTTTAATAAAGGAAGAGCAGTTTAATAGATAAAACGACCATAATCTAGAGCGTGCGTTCAATCGAGACCCAGGGGATCGGTGAGTCAGTCTCGGAGGTTTGGTGGAGGTCAAGACACACACTCGACTCAAACGATTCAAATCGGTTTTGCATTTCGGACGATAGAACTATTAAGAGGGGTACGGTGAAAGCCCATAATGAAACTGGTGGTTCTCGGTACCTCCAATGAGGTTAAGAACCCCTAATCTATAGTCTAGATAAATGTATATTTAAAAAAAAAAACCTACCCACACACACATAATACTATTTAATCATTTTACGCATTCAATCTATCACATTTTGACATTGAGTTTTACATTAATTATCTTGACTTTACCTTTAATTTAGTTTGAGATTCAAATTTTCAACCATCAATTGAGCTTTCTAAAGATAAATTAAACTTTGTGCAATACGAATTCAATACTCCTTTTATAAGTACTTTTGAAAAACGCCTCTCTGAAGTAAAGATGCACGTTATTTTCCTGACGACTACAACGATCTCAAATCCCTATTCTTAAATGCTAATTAATTAGTAATTATTAACTGAAATATTGATTTTATTTCTTAGTTTTTTACACATGACGTATGCAAAAAAATTCCTCTGTCTGTCTGTCGACAGTAAGTCTGTCTATCTCTCGTTGTAGCTCAAAACGCTCGACCGAAATTACGGGTACTTCTGACTGACAGATTCGTTTCAAAGTTGGCACGTGGGTCATGTCATGAAGACAATGCAATCTGACATAAAATTTGACTTAATTGGATGCCTAATTAAATTTGTGTGTTAGTTAGAATATTCTGAAATTAGTAGGCAGACTTATCCAACTATTCCTAAATATTAGTAATTTTATTTTCTAGTTTTTAGTTCATTATTAAATGAAAGCTTGCTATTAAACGTTGTTTTTTATGATTTTTTTCCACAATTCACTTTACATAGCTATACTGTATTTTAATGAACTTTTTATATAACTTAAGTTTTGATGTAAGTACTATATCTTCTTCTACCTTATTGTTATATTTTTTTTATATCGGATAAATCAAACAATAAGACCCACGTCTTAGACGAACTGCATGGTCGCCTCCAGATTTGCTGTACAGCACTAGATTGAACTGTCCATATAAATTCAGTTTTTACGTTAGTGTTATACAATTACAGCTTAAATAATCTTTTTGAAACTGAACATTTCGTTTAAGTAAAAAGTTTGCATAGTATTTTACCTGCAATTATTTTTATATTCATACGCATACAGTGATGTGTTTGTGTTTCAGAAAAGATACATTCACTTGGACTAGCTGAAGGGATTGGCATTGGGACTGGTATTTGTGTTGGGGTAGCGATTTTCGTGCTTGCAGTTGTGCTTGTGGTAAAGTTGCGTTGCAAAACACGATCACTCACTAGGAGTCTAGTGGAATCTGGAAACTGCCATGACAGCGAGAACCAAACACGTAAAATTTTCGCTTATTTAAAAAAAAAGTTTTTATTATTCATCCAGAGCTTATATCATTAGAAGCTATATAAATAACACAACAAAACAGCCTTATTAAGTCATATAAATAGTATTTTTAAAAAGACTAGCTATAGAAATAATGAAGGGTTCATCGGCTTTTATCATGGTTAATGAACCTTACTGTCACTGGATCATGATCAGTGAGATAAAGATATCAAAGCACTATCAATGTATCACGGTCGCTGGGCCATGGTCACTAGATAATGGTCAGTGTAACTTGACCACTGAGACCAAGTCATTGTGGCAAGAGTATTCGGACATGGATGCTAAGACATTGTCTCTCGCTCATTACCATTGAGACATAAACACAGAATCTAATTCTTCGTCATTGGATCATATATAAAGTATCATGGGTATTTAACTAACGACATTTAGCCATGGTTACCTAGAAATGTTAAAGTAAATTCAATTTTAGCGTTGCATTAAGGGAATTAATCCTTGTTTAAAAACAATGATATATTTCCTTCCAGATCAAAACGCTGTTTATGACAACATGACACGGACAGAGGCCGGGGGTGTCCAGCTAGCGGAGTTCATTCAAACTGAACATGTTTATGCAGATGTTGCGGAGCATCAGAGTGATTGTAATGGTAATACCTAGTAGATATAGTCTATATTTGTTGTAAAGAAATTCATGGTCTTTAATGCATGTACATTGGATCATGATTACTAGATCAGTCCACATATGGTCAGTGACCATGATCAGTGGCATCTGGTCAGTGACATAGGTCAGTGACATACGGTCAGTGACATTTGTGACATACGGTGAGTGACATATGGTCAGTGACATACGGTCAGTGACATACGGTCAGTGACATATGTGATATATGGTATGTGACATAGCTCAGTAACATATGGTCAGTGACATATGGTCAGTGACATAGGGCCTACGGTCAGTGACATACGGTCAGTGACATTTGTGACATACGGTGAGTGACATATGGTCAGTGACATACGGTCAGTGACATACGGTCAGTGACATATGTGACATACGGTCAGTGACATATGGTCAGTGACATACGGTCAGTGACATATTGTCAGTGACATATGGTCAGTGACATAAGTGACCTACTGTCAGTGACATATGTGGAGTAAGACGTGATGAGTTATCGTAAACGGATCTTGGTCATTCGGCCACGGTCAAAGCGGCAAGGTCATTAGGGCGTGCATATTGATGCATGGTTGTTTCGTCATAACCATTAAAACACAGATACTGGATCACAAGCAGTGTTTCTTTTAGACATTGTACACTTGATGGGAAAGGGGGGGGGACTTTTTCTAGAAGGATGACGCCCCTGAATTTTCGGGTGGCGCACACGATAAAGTATTTATTTTCTGTTTAAATTAGATATTTTAATGGTGGCAGTGGATATGATTCAATCACGTGTGTGTGGGGGGGGGGGGGGGTGTCAGTGGGACGGGGAAAGTATCTGGAAGAAAATCTGATTACAGGTTTTAGATAATAGACAGTTACCAGTATTATAATAATGTCAACCTAAGGATATTTATTGTTATATTGTTATATTGTATAAGAATGGTTAACATCTTTCTCTTCCAGAACAAAAAGCTGATCACGACAACGACCAAGGCCTAGTGTGTCCCGCTAGTGAAGCAAATGTGTATACAGACATTCTAGACCAGGGGTCTCCAAACTTTTCAGACCGAGGGCCGCATTAACTATCAAATTTCAGTAAGGGATGTAAGGGCCTCGCGGGCCGCATCCGGCCCGCGGGCCGTAGTTTGGAGACCCCTGTTCTAGACTAACAGAGTGTTTTTTATATTAAAACATTACATTTATGATTATAAAGACAATTACGTAATTTAAATGTCAAAATATGCGGTTATTACCTACTCTCGTTGCAATAACAAATTTTTTTAAAACTTTTGTTAACCAAAGAGAAGTTCATAGATATTTCAAGTCCTAATTATCTTCAACATATTTCGTAACATTCATTTTTGTTAATCACAATTTTCGTTACTGGTTATTATTTAGCAATGTTAAGTTTGACACACATAACTTGTTTATATTTGTAAAATTTTAACACACAAAAAATAAATTCTCTCTAAGATTTTAAAAATGTATCATTTATTAACGATAAAAATAGTACACATTTTAGAAAAAAAATTATATATAAATGTGATGCGGATTTTAATCAACATTGGCCTGTTCCTATGACTAGTACCACGACTGTGAGAAACGATTATTTATTAATCGCACTAACTTCTGCCTACGGGAAGGCAGAGTCGAGTTCCGGAACTAGAGTTCAAATTCCTAGTTCTTGTGTTGGCTACGCTGAGATTTGAACTGGTACTTGACATCAACTTAGGCACGGCTTAACTTTTTTAGTTTTTAGCTGAAGCAGATTCCATAAAAGACAAGTCGAAACAATTCTAGCCAAAGTATAGCGTATCGTACAACTATAATGTGAAAGTATAAAAGTAAATACAAACAATTAGTAAAATCAATATAGCTAAACAGTAAATATTTTGAATATTTTACGTTTCTAAAAACGCATTTAAATATAAATGATAAAGAAAAATAATCCTCTTTAGTATGTTGTGAACACACGGATGATCCAGTGTTCTACGGAATATATAAGGCAAACAACCACAAACGAGTTACAGGACGAGACGCAATGAAACAACGACTTGTTAATGCTAAAAGAGTTTAATACTATCAACACAATCTACACAATGCAGGATATTTAAAATATAAATAAATACGCTAATACACAAACTAAGATCCAGTGGCTATCTAACAGTACAGAACTAACCTTAGCCTTGTGGGAGAACTGGACTAAACTGAGACAATCACACACGTTCTCACACAGCAGCCCTTACAGAAAACAGATACAAACCGGACTGTCACGAGGATTGATCTGGGACGACCGGGAAAGGCTACAGCGTATAAACAACAATCGCCCCATTCATTCCCTTTCACTCATTTACTACAGACCTAGCTGGCAGACCATTGGACCATTGGGCAGCTGAAGTAGAGGTCATATGTTTTTTTTTACCTCGGAATATAAATGTGTGTTCAGCACTTTGCCCAGCCGCCTTTACTTCCCCTTATATTAGTTAGCAAGGCTCACCCATACTGACTGATTTGGACTCAGATTCGAACTCGAGACTTTAGGATTAGCAGCCAAACGCTCTTTATCTTAGGCCACGCCGTCCCATAATAATTGAGTGGATGTTTGTTTATGAAGTCTGACTCGTTGGTAACGGGTAGTTCTAACTATGTGATATTGGGTGACGAAGGGATCGTATATATATATATATATATATATATATATATATATATATATATATATATATATATATATATATATATATATATATATATATATATAATATTTAAATTGTTATAATTTTAAAATTGCAGTTAAAATTTTCTTTAAACATCATTTTTTTTTCTAAACTCTTGACTGAAGTCGGTCAAAATAAAGAATTTAAATCAATTTCGATAACAATTGATAAAAACAGTTATCCAAAACGCGAATTAATTACTGAAATTCGTTTTTCATTACTTTTAATAACGCAAAAGTGTGACGTCACACTATCTGAACCCCCTTCATAAAATACCGTAACAAACTTACGATCGTTACGTCATGTATGGACGACCCTTTATATCATTTATGAATGTCAAAAGTTTTCTGGATATGATGCAGGTGTATGTATGTTCTTTCCTTCGACGTTTACGAGCATAATGAAAAATGTGACAGCAGTAATGCAGCATTTAAATACGTTAATATTAGTAGATGTACATAGATGCGATCCTTACTTTATATAGTAAAGTTGACTTTTTATTAAAACACTAATTATTGAGTGATGAATTCAATTCAATTTTTAGATAACGACAATGAATCATTAATCATGATCACTAAATCAAGGTCACTAAATCATGGACACTAAATTAGGACACTAGACCATGGTCACTAACTCCCCCCTCAAGTATTTTACTGATTGACCAGTGGTCATCTGACTTATCTGCCAATCGCAACCTTGCATGTCCAACAAGTGCACACCTGACACACAGTCTAATCTAAATGGAGCGAATATCCGCGTGATGCGCATAGAACTAGAGCATATACAGCAAACTAAGGAAGATGTAAAACAACGTTTTGCACGATTACAATATATCATCTATACTCTTTATAAATGAGAAAGTAAAAAAACAAATTCGAAAAAATACATTTTTAATAAAACATTATAAACTATAGGCCTATAGGCGCATTTGAATGCTATTTATGAACGCGATTTCAAACTTCCGGCCCTCCACTATGCTTCAAGATCTTGTATTCTGAATCAAATCTTACTGATGTAATCTATAGTGCCTGCCTAGGTGATTAATCAATGCGAAATGTTTTTAGCTTTTAAGTCTTACCTTCCGGGTTGTAAATTCTTGTTGATTGGATTCTGGCCTGCCTTTCAATTCTACCACACTCTGTCTTTATGCCTCATCAAACAGCGTAAAAGAACGTATGTAGTTCAGCAAAGGTACACACATAAAATATTTCAAGGTCCTAAATTTGGGGAAGTTAGAAAATATTTGGCCTTTTACAAGCTACATTGATGGCACTATTAGAGATACACCAGCACCTAAAATAAAAATAGCGGGGGGGGGGGGGGGGAGCTAAAATTTTCGACGGGGGGGGGGGCGACCACCGTATATAGAACATATATTTTCTATATACATTACATTTCTTTCGGGGGGGTGTGGGGGGGGGGAGGGGGTAGAAGAGATGACTGAAAGAAACTCTGACAGGAAGGTGTAAAACGTCGAGATTTGGAAAAAACAACTTGAATTTGTTTTAGCAAGATGACATTACTTCCTCAGGAAGATGTAAAAACGTCTTTTGCACAATTACATTACATCCACACTACTCCTCATGTGTGGATGTTAAAGTGGCGTCATCTTAACGCATGTTTTAAAAATTACACATCCTTTAGACCAGTGGTTCCCAAACTTTTTCGAGTGGCGACCCCCTTTTATAAAGAGTAAGTGACCCGCGACCCCCATAGAATTTAAAAGTCGGTATTAGTAAGGAAATAAATACACACTAGAATAAGATTTTCTAGTAGCCTTGCAATATGAATTATTTTTTTATAACGGTTTTAATACGATGAGTGAAATTGCATGCTATTATCTAGACTCAACATTTGCCGTTGAGTTTTTGCTAACGCCAACCTCATGTCATTCTCAGCATTTTACTTGAGTCTTTGTTTTAAATTGGAGAAATTTTGAAAATGTATTCTCACGAAGATAATGTAGACACAAAAGGAACTAAAACTCGAAACGCATTCAATTTCACGTTGGGGTATGAATGGTGCATATTACACCAAAATCGTGTGTAACACAGTACCTGACGCGGATTCATTCCGCAAATCCAAGATTTCATCGATTAATTCATCTGGAATGCTGGCAACCTCAAGGGATGCAGAGAGTGGGTCAATGCAGATTCTTCTTCTTTCAGTTCAGAGGAAAATAAAGTCGAAGTTCGTTTACAAAAGATTCAAATAATGCCTAGAATCCTCTTTCAATTTTTTATTTATTTTACATTCTGATTCTCTATTTCATTTCCAGTGTTGTTTGTATAGCCTAATTTCAGATATTCTCCTAATTTTTTTTCAATGATAGGTTTTAGTTTACCAGTTGGGGACCCACAAGAAAGCCCTTTGCGACCCCCCGGGGGTCGCGACCGCCAGTTTGGGAATCCATGCTTTAGACGATAAAAGGATTGCATGCGAGAGAAGTTTTTCTGTATTCTCTAGAAGCTTGTCTAGTTTGCGAGCGTTAAAAGACTCCGTGAAATACGTGCATATTTTGTGTCCTTATCACTTTGACTTCTTAGAATAGTGAACGTGCTCACCAAATTATTCTAATCTGCACGCTGCTTCCTAGGAACCAGTCATATCCTGTTTCAAGTCTTAGACATAAAATCATTTAAACAATTGAACAGCACATCACCAAACAGGTAGGACATCATATTTTTTTAAATGTTAAGTTCTCAATTACACGTAAAATAATCTCGTCTATTGTTTTCTTTTCAGTTTAGATATTAATTAACATTACTAATGTACAAATAGTTTTCGAGTATAAAAAAAATATTATATTTTTTTAAAAGTTCTACTTTAACTAAACTGAATTTGTAAAAAAAAAACTTTCTTTGATCAGTTTTTATTCGGGTCATCTTGTTGTGGATCTACCCAATGAAGATTTACACATGTATCTTGTTGGCTTTCATCACCCAGGTTGTCTTTACACAAGGTAAATGTCTAAACCAACAAGTTTTACTTCTAAATTAGCCAGTGGTACCCGTTACACGTGAAATATAGGCCTATATATTTAAATGTTATACTGTTTGAAAAAAGTATTTTATAAAATAGTTATTGTTATAAAACATAATCTGCTTTATCACACGTTGAACGATATTATAAATAGCTAAAAATCCGACTCATTTAATACAACATAGGCTACCAATTCATATTAGAAAAGTTAAAACCAAATTACATACATTATTAGTCAACACAACACCATATTAAATGCTCACATTGATACAGTGACTAAATGATTGCTTAAAAACCAGGCTATTCAATGGTATTTTTTTTTATCTAATTATATTATTTTTGGCCAATAAAATTTTATAAATTTCACAGTGTACATCTTGATATGTAGATCTATAGATCTTATTTAAAGAGATAGTTTATTTATTCATATTCTAAAATTGGATTGTTCATATTCTAAAACTGGAAGATATGGGAAGCGAATCTTATTGAAGTATTGTGCATCATTTTCGGAATTCGATTTTTAATTCTATTTTATGTATCCAATAATTAATGACGTCATCAGTGTTGTGTAATTTCCGTAGTATTTAACTTTTTATTAACATACTTTCATATTGATATTTTTCTATTTGTTTTCCGTGACGTCATTCTCTTTGCCAGTGATTGTGATTTTTTTACAATGTGCTATCTAGTATAGAGTCTTCTTTTCACAACCATAAACACTTTTCGAGTTACATAATTAAAAATGTGTTTCTTTATTCAAATATGCCTCTATTTTTATTTTCCTTCTTTAAATAAAATTTAGTTCATAAATTTAGTACATCTAACATATATCCACATATTGCTAAAGATACTGATCGCATAGCCTCGGAAAAATATATTGCGGACAGAGAGAGAGGGACAGTGAGAGAGAGAGAGAGAGAGAGAGAGTGAGAGAGAGAAGTGCGCACATTGACTTTTTATATATTAGGATATATTTAAAAGTGTTAAATCAGCAGAAATGTACACACAAAAATCGACTCCGCACATCACTTCTACAACCGCCAGAGACAAACATCATATCCCCCTCTCCCGCAAAACACACTAACACGTCAGACCACAATGCTTGAAAAATTTCCGAACAAATAAAGAGTAACTATCCTATATTAGGGAGTGATCTCCCCTAAACCTTCTAAAATATATACTGATATAACACTATTGGGATAGAAACACTATTTTTAATCAGTTTTTACATAAACTTTTTAAAAATAGAGAAGAATCCAATAGAAAAAATGATTGCACACAAAGTGAACAGCAAACAATGTGTGTATAATAGTACGGAATATTAGTACTTTATAGGCCTATTCGTTTTTTGAGAATTCGCAAAAAGCGTAACGTACTACCACGGGTCAACGGCAAAAATTTTGTCAAATTTTGACAAAAGGCAGAGAATTAGATCTTTTACTTACATGTGAAATTTCGTTTATCCAAACAATACTCAAGTTATAGGCTTTTGAAAATCCAGAAATAGATTAAGTTCAAATTCCAGTTACCGGATATCGCTTAAAAGTTGAAACAGAACTACAAATTTGATATAATATTTATATATGAAATTTCATCAACCTAGCTTTAACGGTACGTAAGTTATCCTCTTTACAGACACACACACACACAAACACACACACACACAGTCACACAATCACACAGACATAGGCCTACGGACACAAATACCAAACTATGGTTATCCGACTTAGGGAGGTGTAAAACGTTAAGATTTGTGAAAATCTCAATTTTGAATTTTTCACGATTACAATACTTCATCTATACTTCGTATACAAGACAGTAAAAAAGCACCAAATTGACGACAGTGTCTTTAACTTAGCTACACAAAACAGATTTTGTTAATAAAGTATATGTTCAATTAACAATTTTAATATTTTTACTGTATTTTAATCTAAAACTTCAGCAGCGTGTATCAGCAAAACGGCTAAGGAGTTTCAAAACAACTGCTATGAGCTCTTCACAAAATGAACTGGTATGACTCCTATAACAAGTGATACAAGAGGTATGGAATAGTAGGGTACGTCCCGTAGTGAACGGGATCCGGGCTGTTTAGAGTACGACAGCTTACACCGAAAACAGCCCAACCAGCCAGCAAACCGACTCACCGCATAGGATTTTAGGGATACTGTGAATTAACGGTCAAACTACCAGGTGTCCTCCGGCGTTCATACGATAATGTCACTCTGAGCACCAAATGGTTTCCCGGAACAGCCCGTGTTTTATTCAATTTTTTTCAACGGAGGGGGTCTTTTTAAAATTTAGGGGGGGGGGGGGGGGAGACCGAACTACTAATTTTGAATATATCTATAACTTGAGTACTGTTTCAGATAAATGAAATTTCACACGTAAATAAAAGATCTAACTCTCTGCCTTCTTTCAAAACTTGAGTAATTTCCGTTGACTGGAAGTAGTAATTTACGCTATTTCCATATTCTCAAATAAACTATATAAAAAACTTTTTTAAAAACCACGTTTTTCATGTGTAGCAACGGACTAAAAAGGAGAAAATAACTATTTACATACATTTGATGACAAAAAACGTGGGTACGTTCACCATCAAATTTCCCGACCCATCTGCCCGACCCACGTTTTTTGTCATCAAATGTATGTAAATAGTTATTTTCTCCTTTTTAGTCCGTTGCTACACATGAAAAACGTGGTTTTTAAAAAAGTTTTTTATATAGTTTATTTTCTACTTTATCTAATGACTTGATTAAGTATGACTTGACTAAGTGTTTATAAATACATGGACTAAAAAATCTTGAGCGACCAGGATTCGAACCTGGGTTGTCGCGGCCACAACGCGAAGTACTAACCACTATACGATCACGGCCAGCGCGCTCACATCGATTGGGGCCGAAGTAACTGTGTCAATAGGCCTCCAGTCTTGTCGGTATCTTTAGAAATCATGTCCTCAATTTTATGGTCCTTAGGGCGTAATTAAATTAAGCTAATTACGGTCTCTAATTGCTAGTTTTTATGATTGCATCTGAAATTGTTAGGCGAAAGTAGCCTGCATGCCAAATTTCAGATCTATAGAGCAATCAGAAGTGGGCTAATTTTCGATGTCAATTTTAACAACAAACACACGCGAAGCTGAGTTAATAAAAACGTGTTAATAATAAAAAAACGCATGTAAATTTATAAAGTACTAGCCGTCCCGGCCAGGCCCTGCTCTGGCTTCTGTGAAAAACCTTTCTGTTAAAAACCATTACCTGTGTGTTTAGTAATCATCATAAACCCGGCACTGCCCACCCAACCACAACCAACCAAAACCAAAACAACAAAACGCAATCATAACGCTAACACAATTACAAATACAAACGAAAACAAAAACCTAACAACAAACCCTACCACAACCACAAACACAAATACGAACACAAAGAAAAAAACAAACGAAAAAGCAAACGAAAACAAACCAAATCCAAACGCAAAACCAATCACAAACACAAATACAAACACAAACCCAAAGAAAAAAACACAAACGAAAACGAAAAAAAGAAAGAACAAAAACGAACCAAATCAAAAGGCAACCACTAACGCAAACCCAACCTAAACACAAAGAAAACACTAATGCGAACATAAACGCAAAGTGCTCACAGTCTAGCCCGGGGCGGAATCGCCTGTCCCAGCTTAATAAACGACTATAGTACCCCAACTTATTCATAGTCTTTTGCACTCATTTTAACGAACGTAGGCGCTAAACCGAACACGGGAGGCCCGGGGCCCCAAATAGCACCCTGTCTGGGCGCCAGAGCACGCACCATGACGTAACCGCCTGATTCAACTTAGAAAACGACTATAGTACATAACTTATTCATAGTCTTTTGAACTCACGCCAAATAGCACCCTGTCTGGGTGCATGAGGACGCCCGGATTTGATTCACTTAAAGACTATAGTAACCTTTCTTATCCATATTCTATCGCACTGTTCAAAACAAAATTATGCAGCATAGCGCTCACATGTAGCTCAGGGCGCCAAATCGAACCGTGCAGGGGCGCCGGCGGACGCGCTTGTTTCAATTTAGTGAACAAAATCATAATACTCTAAGCTTATCCGTAAATGGAAAGAAATAAACATATAGGATTTGTAGGACCTGGCTTATTAAATGTTATTGATTTAAAAAAATAATTATTGAACAGTATGTTCAGTGTATAGAATAAATAAAAGGCAGTATTAAAAATACCAACGACATTGCACTTAATCAATGTAATATTTTTTTTTCTTAACACCAAAACAAAGTAATAAAAAGTAAATTCTTTCTTCCCCCGATTTAATGACTTTTTTAAAGGGAAGTAACTGTGTAGTTAATACATTTCAGACACAATTTTAGAAATTTTATAAACGTTGATACACTTTTTTAAAAATTTTATGTAATAATCATAATTGAAAATTTTTATTCTAAGTATATAAAATGAAAATTGTTTTTAAAGACTTTCAATAGTAATTTTTTAACTCATAAATTTAGACTATGAGCACGATAATAATCTAACACTTAATTCCATAGAAGTATCCACAACAAACAAATTTAATTTTACAAACAAATATTTTACATACAGAATTGAGCTTTATATATTAGACTGAAAATATTCCGCACTATTATACATACATTTTTTTGGCGTTCCCTTGCTGCGCAATTCTTTTTTCAAGCAACCAATTAAGTCAAATTTAATGTCATGTTGCTTTGTCTTCATATCTTGACCCACGTGCCAACGTTGAAATAAATCTGTCAGTTAAAATTGTACGAAATTTCGCTCGGGGGTTTCGATCTAGACAGACTGACGACTGACGACAGAGACATTGAGTTAAAAATAATAAAAGCTTGTTAAAATTGAAAACAGCATTGGGAAAATCAGTATATTATTCACGTTACCTCAGAGTAACCTAATGTTACCGAATATCTTCAATTTTAATGTCCGTACTCGATCTTGTTTGATTCTATTAATATTTAGTACAACTGATGCTACTATTATATAATTAAAATTATAAAACATTGTCACCTCAAACAAATTTGACATAACTGTCTAATAAACAATTAAATAAAATTGACAAATCTAAAAAAATAATTATTTCGATGGCTTATGTAATAGTAAATACTTGTATCCGTACAAAAGGCCGACATGAACAAAATGCCGATATGAACAAAAGGCCCAGCTGTCTTTACTTTCACTAACGTGAGTTAGTTACCCATAAGAACTGGGTGGACTCAGGGATATTCCGCTGTCTTGATTCGAACTTGAGACATTTTATGGGTTAGCAGTCTAGCGCTCTACCGCTAGGCCACGCCGTAGCTTATAATTAAGAGTAACATTCTAAAACGTTTTTAAAAGTATCAACTTGTGCGATATGTAGATTTCTTTTATCCATAAGCGTGGCTTGGAGCTACTGATGGATTACGAGAAGGTGAATGGGTGTGGACAGATGGTACAAAGGCCAATCTGACATCAATGTGGCGTGCTGGAGAACCGAACAGCTATAATAATAAAAGTGAAGACTGTCTTGACATTTCTGAATGGGAAAATCTAAATGATGAAGCGTGTTCTAGAGCTTTCCCTTTTATTTGCATGGAAGTTCACGGTAAGTATTTATTTAAAAAGATATCTTAGTTTTTTCAATTATCGAACAATTTTTATTCAAACATGTATTGCTATATAAATAAAAAATGATCTGAATAGCTTGCAAGATAAATTCAGCCTAGTACATTTCTATATCCAGTTTCAGCAGGGCATTTTCACCCGAAACGATCGTTAAGAATGTTGATACTGACTGTGATGTAAGATTTACTAAATTATGTATGCGTCTTTTTGATTTGTTATTAATCACACATATCTTATAACCCTATCATGTAAAAAAAAATAAAACAAAACTTTTTGTAATAAGTCTAGAGGTTTTTATTCTTAAAATCAGATCTTAAATTATTGTCTGTTTCTCACTTACACACGAGAAAATAGATACAAGTTATGATTAAGAAAGTGATACAAAAGCAAATATAACCAAAAAAAATGTAATATCTTATGCAAATGTAGCAGTCGGGAATGCCTGCTGGGCATATTTTGTCTGAGATCAATTGTCAATTGTATCATATGTCCAGATATATTTTGTCCTGGTATCGTTTGTCCGTGAAATAATTTGTCCTTGAGATCATTTGTCCTGAGATCATTTGTCCTGAGATCATTTGTCCTGAGATAATTTTTCCGTTAGATATTTTGTCTGAGATATTTTGTCTGAGATCATTTGTCCTGAGATCATTTGTCCTGTCACCCATAAATAGATTCCACTCCATATAAGACACATTCCAACAAGACAATGCAATGCAAGTAAATGTATTGCAAGCGGTGTTTACGTTTATGTTTCTAAGAAAACACATTGGTACTGTACTTAGGATCTCCACCGAACAACACGCTTTCTTAGGCGTCCGCGCCCAGAGGGTGCATTTCCAGTTTAAATAACACCGAAAAACAAAACAAAAAATTGTGATTTTGAGAGATAATTGACTAACTAGAAAATACTATAAATAATCTTAACATTTATCTATTTTAATTATGAACATAAACATATAATAATTAATAATATTAAAAATCAAATTATTGAGCGTAAATTGAATTTATTTTTAAATTATTTCTTCTGGCAAAACTAATAACTATTTTAATTAATTAGTTTTTTTCGACCCTACTGTTATGAAAATGTATCCACTTTTATCTAGGAATCTAACCGAAAATTATATTTGACATTGATCCGTTTAATATGTTTTTGCAATGTGCGTGTATTCAGTATTTTTTCACGTTATGCGAAAGAGTAAAAACGGTGGCAACTATAAAATAGGTTTAAATCGTTATATAAAGAAACCCTACTCTATTAATTATAATAAGATAATAATCATTATAATAAGACAATGCGATGCAATGTAAATGCACTGCATGGTTCGATGTTTACTTTAATGGTTCCAAAGTCTATAGCGATGACTGATGGAATGACACACTACCAGCAGCGTTATATTATAGAAAACACGGTTTTTAGCTACGGTTTCCTTATTATTTTGTTTGCTGAATTTGAATTACTGGACGAATAAGTCAACAAAATAGGACCTGTAAGTCTCGTTCTTACTCACTTAAAATAGAAATGTGCCAGGTAGAGATATATACATTTCCAAAGTTGTTGTAAACTTTATTTCTATTGAAAAAAATCATGGCGGTTATTCTCGCTTCAAGATTTAAAAATACCACGACGCGAATAAACAAAATGCAACAATTATAATTTTTTTACTAATAATAGAATCAAATAAAATACCGGTAGGCCAAGGCTGTTGTAACTACGTTTAGTGCAACGTGTTACTGATTTGAACAGTTAATAACTAGTTGTATATATGTATATAAGTGTGTTGGAACAGTTACAAAACAGTAGCTTTCATCTGACGAGGTATCACTTTGCTATATAAACCTGTACAAATACTAATTATAATCAAACTCGGTTGATAGGCTATAGGACAGTTGGAAATTAGACAGGAGCAGGCATGTTTCGAAAATTTAACTCTTGCATAGTATATCATATTGCAACACTGAGGATTAGCTTAGAGCAGGCATGGAATGTACTTTAAATTACATGTACTTTTCTAACAGTTGAAAAAGCATTTAATAGTGTACACATAAGGATTCATACGTTTTTAAACTATTGCATAGTAATATAAAAACTCATGAAGCACTATGGAAGTTCAGATAAATGTATTTTAATCATCCATTAACTTAACCTCTACTCAAAATGCCAAGTGATGCGCAATAGCACATTTTTAGAAACTTTTAAGGTAAAACTTGGAGTATGTTAGGGGTATTTGGCTGACTGGTTGATTAAACAAAGGAACAAACCACAGGAAAAATAATGGAATACAAAAAACAAAAAAAAATAATAAAATCAGGATCGTTAGCTAAATTGTGAAGTCTTTTTATTGGATGGCTCGGAGACAGAGGGTAACTAACAAAAGGAGTTGGCATTGGTACACCCTCATAAAGACAGTTATATCACCATTAAGCAGGCTCGGGTGTGCAATCACGGGGAAAGAGGAAGAGTTGTATACCGAAAAAGTAATGAAGGTAATGTTTAGAGAGGAAGATGAGGAGGTTGGATTGTTAACGCTTAATTTAAGTTTTAAAAAAAATCAAGTTAGGTGACAATATATGACTAGGTCTTAGGGAGCCAAAATGATTTGAAAAAAGGAAAAACAAGAATTTTGAGCTATTTTTTGAGACATTTTTGGTCGTGTCATTAGAAAAATCTCGATACTAATTGTCTCTTATATTAGTTTCAGGTTATCAGTTTTGTTTAACAAATTAACAAAGCAATAACAATCATTATTGCCCCCCCCCCTAGCAACGCCATTTTACTTGTTAACAACTATAGACTGTATTTGCCTTTATAACCATTCAGGTCTCCAAACAATCACTGAATACTGCAACTATTAGTAAATGTTAATAATTGAATCTGGAGTACAAAAGTGCAAATAGTTATAGAATTTATATTTTAAAATTTACATTAATAACTAAATAGTTTTTGTAAAAAAAAACAACCATAAAAACAATAGATTTTTTTAAAAATTCTATAGGCATTTATATTGATTACTAATTTTGTATTTTTTAATTTTCCCACTTTATTCACACAAAAATAATCAAAACATTTTTGGCTAAACATTTTTACTTTGTTCTTTTCTGTAGAAGCAAATACAACATTTGTGACGTCATCAACAGAAAGAAATATGTCAAAAGCGGATAACGTTTCTAGTGACAGCTCCGGTAAATCTGTTTAAATCTATGTAGCATGATAACATACGACCGGTTACCTATAAATGTGTAAGCTTATTTTGAATGTGCATACTCTTGTTTGAAAAAGAAAATTTTAGTAGTCAACAACAATACCCAAATCCTAAGCGTTCATATTTTTTTAGAAATATTTAAAAACAAGCTGTCAAATAGCTAATTGTTGTTTTTACATTCATTACCTTGACATTACTTTGACATTACTTTGACATTGACATCTGAAAATTCGACTATCACTGTTGGTGTTGCCCCTATTAAAATATACATCTAACGCTGTAAACTATTCACTATTGCTCACTACAATTTTAAAAATGCACACAGGTGATTTTAAATGCCAGTAAATCATCTCAATTTTACCGAAACGCTAGTGGTATAAAATTTGAATGATCTCCTTAAAACGTTCTCGTACATTCTTACATAACAGAAATATGGTAAAAATTCTCATTAAAGTTATAATTTTCTTAAAAAAATGCACGAAGTATCCAAAAGAGCAAAAAATCCATTATGACGAAAATCAGGATTTTGTAATGAGCATATACCAAAAATGGAAGCCATTTTCATACGTATTATGTCCAAAATGTTTATGTCCATATAGATTCATTGAAGTTTTTGTCTTTCAGAAAAGATGAATTCACTTGGACTATCTGAATGGATTGGCATTGGGATTGGTATCTTTGTTGTGGTCGCGTTTTTCGTGCTTGCAATGGTGATTGCTATAAAATGTAGTAAAACACAGTCACTCAGTAGGTATCTGGTGAATGACAGTGGGAAGCATATAAGTAAAATATTTGCACATAAAATGTTCTAATCCCATAGTAGTTCCATATTAGATATTCAGAACAGAAGAACAAATTCCTATGTATTGATAAAAAATAAGCTTAAACCACGAAATAAATCTAATGAAACATTGAATTTGATTTTCGGCCATGGACCTAGATCATGGTATTTAGCCATGTCTATTGATTAATGGTCACTGGATTATGGTCAGTGAGGCTTTTATATTAAGTAATTCATATAGGGTTATAGCCACTGGACCATGGGCACTAGATCATGCTCACGGAACCATATTCATTAGGGCACGCATATTCGGATATGGATGTTTAGACATAGTCATTTGCACAAATCCATTCAGACATGTACACTGGATCTAAGTCATTGGATCATAGACTTTGGCTCATGGTAATAGTTATTTTAGTTACTCATTGTTATATTGTACAACAATGGTAAAAATTATCTCCCACAACAAAAGAATTTAATGGAAACATGACACTGACAGAGGCACGTCCTGTCCAACACGTGGATCTGGATGAAACTGATTAAGTTTATGCGTACCATAAGGGCGACTGTAATATTAATACATAGAGCATGTTTTATAAAAAAAAAAAAATGAAAATTACGATCTCTAGATCATGGTCACTGGATCAGGGTCAGTGACATATTATGATTAGTGACATATAAAAGTAAAGTTCCCCTTCCAAACTTGACGGTTTATGGGCAAGTGAAGTAGAGTTCACCTATTTCTGTGACCTCGGAATATGAAGGGATAGTATGGTCAGCACTATGCCCCACCGCCTTTACTTTCAATAACATGAGTTATGTACCCATCAGAGCTGTGGGGACTCAGGGACGGTCTACTAACTTGAAACCGGATTCGAACTCAAGACACACGGGTTAGCAGTCTAGCTTTCTACCACTAGGCATATAGGCAGTGACATATATGCAGAGAGGCATGAGTCATTATAAATGTGTTATGGTCTCTGGGTCATGAATATTGAGACATATTTAGTCATTGCCATTAGGTCATAACAATTGTCTCATGAATAATGGTTGAAATTCATTGCGTGATAGACTTTTAGTCATAGACATTTATCGGCATTATGTCAGCGTGACTCTACAAATATTTATTGTTATATTATTGTATTGTATGCGAATAATTTCTCTTCCAGATGAAAACACTGTTTATGAAAATATAGCACGGACCGAGGCAGGGCGAGCCCAACTGGTGGAGCTAGATGAAACCAAACATGTGTATGCAGAATTTTTGGACAAACAGGGTGGTTGTAATAATTATATCTAGTGTGGGAGATTGCTGTGAGAGGTTCACCTTTTCATACCATCATCACTGTGGGCGTTTCTATACCTACTAGGCATGTTGCCCAGCTTCGCTTAGGCTTTCGAAAACATTGAGAATTTGAATGCTTAATTAATTCGCCCGAAGTTCGGTCTACGACCTCAATAGCTTATGAAGAGGTTCTTCCGTGGACATTTTTTTTTCGATTTATAGCTCATATAAGGTACCGGTCAGTCGAGGTCAGTTTTGACCCCCACATCGTAGACTTTTCGGCCAACCGGCCCCCGTGTTCTGTCGCACCAAGGCAAGATCATGCCAAATTTGAAGCGCCTGCGGCGCCGGGAAGTGCCCTATCGGACACCCGACAATCTAGATCTAGATCTAGATTCCTAAAAGAATTTTTTTTTTAAGTTTAGCCCGAGCATAATAATAAAGAGTACATTAACCAAGTTGACTTGCTGTGTCTCGAACCCGCACCACCTGCGTGGTTTAATGTACACTAACATCTCTGCTATTTAGGCACCTTATAAAATACGGAGAATGAAACACGTATTTTAAAATCTTAACTTACGCGAATATGCCTATTCTTTCAAATTAATTTTTTATCCCAAATTAGCCAGTTCCAAACAAAGATTTTGTATAAAATAAATAAGTCTTGAAATAGTTGAGTCCTAATATAGAAATTTATTTTTGGAATTGATTTTAGAGAAGTTAGAGTCTAAATCTAGATCTTAGCGTCTACGTCTAGATCTAGTTATTGCGTAGATTTAGATTTAGATTTAGTCTAGATCTAGAATCTCTAGATCTAGAATCCAAATAAATAAAATAAATTTTATGAGTTTAGGCCGGAAAAATTGTATTGTATACATTTCATAGTGTACGTAGATCTAAATCAAATTTGAATGAAATAGTTCATTTCTTTTCATTCTAAACACGGCAGATGACGTCATTAGTTAATGTATAAGCAATAGTGACGTCACAGTTTTATGCGTTCTTTTTCACATATATTAATGCTTTTCCGGTTGCATAAATAATACTGTTTCTCTACATTCGAATACGCCTTTAATTTTTATTTTTCTTCTTTAACTAAAATTGTGGTTATACATTTAAAACATCTAACATATTATTTTCAACAAAAGTCCGTAAAAAGTTCTTCATATATCGCTGCCGATTCTGACGTGATGTCCGGCGAAAATATTTTGCGGACAGACAGAGAGAGAGAGAGAGAGAGAGAGAGAGAGAGAGAGATGTGCGAACGTGGGGATTTATATATTAGGATATCCACTCCCTTATATGTTAACACTTGGTCATAGACATCACTCTATATTTAACAGGATACTAATTCTTCTTATTTTAGTCTTTATTCAAAACATTACTAAGACATTCTCAGCGCTAGGCGCTTTTTTTTGTCACAATGTCTGTTAACTTTAGCGCCTGTACATCTTCGGTTTGTGTTATTCTTGCTGAACATAGACCGTGAACAACCCATTGATCGATCGTAATTCACAGCATTTTGCTTAAGTTGTCAGGCTTAATTCAGCTATATATTTTTTAAACGAGAGACCCCTTAACTTTGGGTTTTAAGATCAGTACAGAAACGTAGGGTAATTATTACCTAAAGTAGGACTCTTAGAGTAGGATTATGCTTATCTGCAGGTTCTTTGCCAGCCAGCTGATCTAGAACATTTTCCAAAGGCATCTTATACAGATCCACATATTTTTAAATATGGATTGTGTATAAAAACTCTATGCAACTATATGGCGGGGGGGGGGGAGATGAATAAATGTACATACAAAGAAACACATTCTCATACAAATTAAAGAACTTTAGTATCGGACAAGGTGATCAGATTGTGCAGATGTAGGCTACTTAAGTTTAATTAACATTTAAAACTGCCTCCAAATGCTGAATAGGAAAAAAACTTCAATTAATAAATAGCAACATTTTATTTTTTTTACAATCAGAATTGTAGCTTTTGAAAAGGGTAAAACTATGTGAATATTATTCTCGCAATACAGTGATCTAACCCATACCTTATCTTTATTAAAAATAATAATCTTTATAGAACACAAAAAAAGCAGAAGCTAATTCAAAAATGTAAAGATTTGAAATGCAAGACCAATAATTTAGTTAAATTAAAATATACTATCGACTATTTTTCAGAAAGCTCAACGTATTGAACTTTGTTTTCCATGTGACTTAAAAGCTCTTTTCTATACCAACTCCGCTTAAACAAACTTTCTTTATGCTGTGATGTTTTAACATTTATAATGAAATATATTTAATTCTGATTGTAGACAATATTTTCGGAAAAACGATTAGTAAAAAGCTACTACATTAAAAAATAAAGTAATTATTTATCTTGTTGAATTTGACAATAACATTTAAAAAAGTAGACCCATACATATGGTTATTAAGATGGTGACTATTTCCGCTACTGTAATTAATATTCCATTATGTTAAATTGTTTTTTTTAACAAGATTACAAAACAGATTGCCTCGCATTTCTTGTTTTTCTTTGTGCTGTGTGTATATTTTGAGCTGTGTTTTGTTTTGTGTGATAAATTGTTTTGTTTTGTCAGTCTACATTCAGTCTGCACGGTGCATTATTCTTTTGATTTCTACAGAGTAATGTTTGAATGTATTTTCACCTTAGCGAAGCAATGTGTTACATGTCTTATTATATATATATATATATATATATATATATATATATATATATATATATGTGTGTGTGTATGCGTATGTAAATATATATGGTTCCATGATAAATAATCTCAGCACAAAAATTATCTCACTCAAAATATCCCACACAAAATATCTCACGGACAAATGATCTCGTGGACAAATGATCTCACGGACAAATGATTTCACGGACAAATAATCTCAAGAACAAATGATCAATCGGACAAATGATCTTAAGGACAAATCATCTCACGGACAAATGATCCTATAATTACTGTATGGGTGCATTTCGAATGTAATATATGATTAGAAGCATAATTACTTATATATAAATAATATGCCGTTACAATATATAAAATGACAATGGGCATACTTACTGAATGGATGCCTTTAAATGTATTTTAAAGCAAAGTGGGCATATTACTGGATGCCTTTAAAATATAATATAATGGATATACTAATAATAACTTTAAAGATGCCCCTACAGATTATGAAAAAATGTGGATATAATTACTTTACGGATGTATTTCAAAATTAGCATAACGAATATAGTGCAAAGGAATTATTGGGTACAGCTACTCTTAAACATGCCCTACATTTATTAAAGAAATATCAATGACTACCAAACGACTACCCTTTAATGATGCCCGCTTTTTCTAAGTAATTTTTGCAATACCTGACCACATACTGTCAAAACGAATAATAGACGATTGAGTATTTGATAGGTGAGATTGGCAAATTAATAAATCAGTCAGCAACATTCTGTTTTAAATTACAAAAAAAAAACCCCAACAAACAAACAACCTCCTGGATGCACCCCTGGAGTGGATGCACGGGGCCTAGGCCCCGTCGCACCCCCCCCCCCCCCCGTATTCGTATTAATAACATGTGAATATTCATACATATTCATATCAATACATTTATTTTTATATCAATATTCATATAAAAAAATGACAAGCGATGTAGCCTCGGATGAGTTACTAAATGAAACAATTTCTTATTTATAATTTAAAAAAAATGTCTCTGGTTATTTTGATATTCAAAGGGATCTAATCCAGGAAATGAAGAAAAAGTTCATCAATTTAATTTCTTTTTCAGCTCTGTTTTTCTGTTTCATCACTAACATCTAAAAAATTAGAAATGTTATCAATAACACAGGGAAAATGCGCAAACGGTAAATTACACAAATTGCTAACCAATGAGGATTACGGCAGTGTGTGTGTGTGTGTGTTTGTGTGTGAGTGTGTGTTCATTTATGCGTTCATGTTTGAGTTTGCACTTACCCATGTGTATACATAGAGAGTTATAATTCATTCCAACGTCTGTATATTTTTATAAAAAAATAAACGCGCCCCAACATATATATATATATATATATATATATATATATATATATATATATATATATATATATATATATATATATATATATATATATATATATATATATATATATGGTAAGGCTTTGGATAAGTATAAATTATCACAGTTTTATTTCATTTTTGTTTACTGTCAATTCACACACACACACACACACACACAAACAAACACACACACTAACACATACATACACACACAGACAGACAAAATTGCTAGAATAATTTGCTGACACATGAAAGTGCTAAACGACAAAAATTGAAGAAGAGGAAAATGAATTCACTTTTTTGCAAGATAACAATACTTCCTCAGGGATGTAAAAACGACTTTTACACGATTATATTACATTTAATAAATACCTCATACGCGCATGTAAAAGTGACGGCTTACATGAGTTTTTAAAAAAATACAAATAATTTATAAGATAAGCGGCTTGCATGCTAGTGATATGCGTTTCTGGATCCTCTTGAAGCTACCTAGTATATAAGCGTGCTCTACTCTGTGGCAAATGTGAATTATTCGTATCCTTATCAGGCTTCTCAGAAAAGTAGACGTATTCACCAAAAACTTTTTAAAAAGCTTGCTGCGTCTAAAGAACCTACCGTATCCTATTTTGAGTCCTAGACAGAATATCTTTTATAAAACTGAACAGCACGTCACCATACAGGTAGGAAATCATATTTTGTATTTTAATTTTAATATATTATATATAATTATATTTTTAATGCCAAACGAGTAAAACTATCGTATCTATTTTTGGACTTCGTTAATAAGCTGTTTTCTAAACTTAACTCTCATTTTAATATTTAGAATCATAATCCTATAATACTTTGTGTACAACAAATATATATATATATATATATATATATATATATATATATATATAATGTATATTATGTATTATGTGTTTATTATGTAATTATATATTATACAAATATAAACG